ACCTCAACAATCTTGATGACGCCACCAAAGTCAGAATCCTTTTGAGAAAGCTCGGCACAATCGAACACGAACGTTATAGTAATTTCATCCTCCCAAAGAACCCACGAGATTTCTCTTTTGATGCTACAATTGATACGCTGTCGCAAATCTTCTCTGAACAGTCATCTCTCTTTAATATTCGTTATCAATGCCTCAAAATAATCAAGTCAAATGAAGATGACTGGGTAAAGCATGCTGGCTTAGTAAATCGTGAATGCGAACGATTTAAATTATCATCAATGACGGAAGATCAGTTTAAGTGCCTTGTGTTTGTGTGCAGCTTACAATCTCCCGACGATGCTGATATAAGAACCAGAATCCTAAGTAAAATTGAACAGTGCCCAAACATCTCGCTTCAAGAAATAACTGCAGAGTGCCAGAGATTAGTAAACTTGAAGCATGATACCTCCATGGTCGAAAACAAGGGCCTCTCATCATACGTGCATTCCATTAGTGAAAAGAAAAATTCCAATTCGGCCCAAAAACCCAAAATGAATCCACCTTCTGCTTGCTGGCACTGCGGTTCATGGCACTATGTACGGAACTGCCCATTTAGGCAGCATAGATGCAGGAAGTGTAAAGTCATCGGTCATAAAGATGGCTTTTGCCTACAGAAAAAGCCAAAGCGATCCAGAAGTGCTAAGAAGCCTGTTCCTAGATCCAGTACCAATGCATTGAGCCTAATATCTTCCTGCCAAAGTTCATCACCAGGTGAGAGGAAATTTATTACTCTTAATATTAACGGTTATTTGTGTAGAATGCAAATAGATACTGCATCTGATGTCACTATCCTCTCACGCAAAAATTGGACCAAGTTGGGCAGCCCAAGCCTGCAGCACACAACACAAAAGCCTCGTACAGCATGTGGTAATTATCTTCGTCTGTTAGGACAATTGGAATGTAAAGTTGCTTTCCGAGATTCGTCGTTTACTGGGGTATGCTATATAACGCCAGCTGATCTAAATTTACTTGGTTTAGATTGGTTCGACCAGCTAAAATTGGCTGATGTCCCGCTAAATACCATATGCAGCCTGGTATCACAACGACATGACCCAGAAGCGTATACGAAGAAGCTGATGACAGAGTTTTCAACCATTTTTGAACCTGGATTAGGTCGGTGCACTGCTATGAAAGCAACACTTCGGTTGAAACATGGGGCTAAGCCTGCTTTTCGTCCAAAGAGACCTGTACCGTATGCTACATTAGCAACAGTAGATGAAGAGCTGGATCGCCTTCAACGACAAGGAGTTATTACTCCCGTTTCTTACTCCAGTTGGGCAGCACCTATAGTCGTTATCAAGAAGGCCAACGGCACGATACGTATATGTGCTGACTTCTCTACAGGTCTCAACGCAGCTCTAGAACAGCATCATTATCCTCTGCCAGTCCCAGCAGATCTGTTCACTATGCTGAATGGAGGAAAGTTCTTCGCAAAGCTTGACCTAGCTGATGCTTATTTGCAAGTGGAAGTCGATGAAGCATCTAAAGAGCTGCTTACTATCAACACTCATCGTGGTTTGTTCCAGTATAACCGTCTACCTTTTGGAGTTAAGACTGTCCCATCTATCTTCCAACAACTAATGGATACTATCCTGTCAGATATCGCAGGGGTTGCAGCTTATCTCGATGATATCTTGATTGTTGCGAAGACGTTAGAACAGCTACGGGAACGCACGACATTGGTACTACAACGCATCAGTGACAATGGTTTCCGGTTACGCCCAGAAAAATGCCAGTTTCTATTGCAGTCGGTAAAGTATTTGGGATTCATCTTTGATGCCGACGGTCGCAGACCGGATCCTGAAAACATCCGAGCTATCAAACTGATGCCCACTCCCACTAATGTTTCCGAATTACGATCTTTTCTCGGTTTGATCAGTTATTATTCAGCTTTTGTTCCCTCGATGCATGATATTCGCGCTCCATTGAATTGTCTACTGCAGAAGCATAGCACATGGAACTGGACTAAAGAGTGTGACGCGGCTTTTGGTAAACTCAAGTCTATAATTAGCTCGGAATTGTTATTAACACACTACGATCCATCCATGCCGATCATCGTAGCAGCAGACGCTTCAGCATATGGCCTAGGTGCTGTTATTTCACATCAATTTCCAGACGCGTCAGAAAAAGCCGTTATGCATGCATCCCGTACACTGACCCCAGCAGAAAAGAAGTATAGCCAGATAGAGAAAGAAGCTCTTGCCCTTGTGTTTGCTGTTCGCCGTTTCCATAAGTTTCTGTACGGTCGGAGATTCACGCTCCTCACAGATCACAAGCCTCTTTTAGCAATATTTGGTTCAAAGTCCGGCATTCCAGCCCATTCTGCAAATCGTCTTCAGCGATGGGCCTTGGTACTTTTGGGGTATGATTTCGAAATCCAATATCGACGTACTCTACAATTCGGTCAAGCAGACGCTTTGTCACGACTCATTAATGATCAAGTGGCGGCTGAGGAAAACATGGTGATCGCATCTCTGTCAGTAGAAGACCACGCAGAATGTTATCTGACAACCGCAGTTCGCGCATTACCGGTGTCTGCAACAGACATACAAAATGCTTCTAGAAACGACCCCATCATCAAGATGACGATGAAATATGTCACTAACGGTTGGCCGTCGAAAAAGTTTGAAGGTGACATGAAGCAACTGTATCAGCGGCGGGAGTCACTATGCATCGTGAACGATTATCTGATGTTTGGTGAAAGAGTAGTGGTGCCAGCATCCCTTCGTGCAAAAGTGCTGAGACAGTTCCATCTTGGTCATCCTGGGATTAAACGAATGAAGTCCATAGCCAGGAGTTATGCATACTGGCCTCACATGGATCAACATGTCACAGCGTTGGTTGAAAAATGCATCCGGTGTCGGCAGGCGGCAAAGATGAATGCCAAAATTCCGCCAGTTTCATGGCCCAAACCTGAGCATCCTTGGTCCAGGATACATGTCGACTTCGCTGGCCCAATAAATGGAACTATGTATTTAATTGTCGTCGACGCCTTTTCTAAATGGCCGGAAATCAGCCCCGTTATGCCGCCCACTACAACTAAGACTATACAGCTCCTAACTGAAATTTTCTCACGAAATGGCATACCAGATGTGATCGTATCCGACAATGGCTCTCAATTCACCTCTTCCCAATTCCAGAATTTCTGTCAACGGCTAGCTATTAAACACTTACGCTCGCCACCATACCACCCGCAATCGAATGGGCAGGCGGAAAGGTTTGTGGATACGTTTAAAAGAGCACTGCTCAAGTCAAAAGGGGAGGGGACGCCAGCCGAAACGTTACAAAATTTCTTGTACGTCTATCGGACAACACCAAATGAATTGTTACCGGAGCAAAAGTCCCCAGCTGAAATCCTGATGGGAAGAAGATTGAAAACGATTCACAGCCTGATGCATCCGACCAATGCACCCTCATCAGTAGAGACAAAGCAGCAAAGACAATCCGCTTACGAGGTGGGATGCCCTGTGTTTGCCCGCGACTACAGAACGAACCATGGTCCTTGGGTAGAAGCGAGAGTGGTCAGAAGGGTTGGTCGAGTTATGTACGAAGTAGAGGTAGGAGGTGATAAATGGTCACGTCATCGGAATCAGATACGCAGACGGCTAGCCCCAGATCGCCCATCAAGAGCAGAAAGCCTTTCCCTTGACATCTTGCTCGATACCTTCAACCTACCGAGAGCCCCGCCACGATAAGAAACTCAGCAGCAAGCTGTTCTTCGTTCCCGAAGGTATCCCCTCAGACAGCGGCGAACAATAGTCAAGATGCAAGTCAACCACAGGAGAACACGCTATTAAAAAGGGGAGGAGTGTTGGGGATGTTAGATCCCCAAAATTCGCTTGATAATGCCGTATTTCGGTCTTCACGTTCGCCAGCAGGGGCTGATCAAATGACCTTGAGATTTCAATTCCCACCAGGAAAATCAATGGCTGTGATTGGCTACAGTGTATTTTAGTATGCTATTTTCTTAACTGTCTCAAGGACGTTGTTATGTTGTATAAATAAACGAGAGTCGTATGCTGATTGTACTGGGATTGCTGGGTGCTTGTAGAATATACTTCTACGCCTACAAAGTCTTCTATTTCGGTTCTGGGATTCAGGGTAGCCTTCCTGGAAGCTGGTAAAAGTCTCGTTCGCGTTTATCGACTAAGGTAAACTCGTAATAGCCTCAAGCATCCTAAGTGCCGAACTTATCAATGTATTAAAAAACCTTTGTTTGTATACAAAGGATGATCAATCAGTCAGTAAGTTACAACGTAGTATTTCGTACGTACGTACTACATCAGTTCAAGTTGCCATACCACATTAGCACAGACACACAATTGTCAATCCACATCCTATAGTAATTGAGTTAGCAGAATTATTAGCGGTAATGGAGAAAATTAGGATTCGAAGATTTGATTCGAGAAGTGTAATTGAATGGAATAAGTTTAACAAGTGAAAACAGGTCATGAGGGATTTCGAAGACTAGAATTTGGGAGAGGGCAAAGAATGGTTGCATCTGCGCCATTGCAAACGATTTTGAGCCATATCATTCAAGGTCTCTAATAATCGTTTAATATCGTCTCGCGGACATCAACCTAGTAGTCTACACCTACTGACATAGCTTAGTCCATTTGTCAATGACTTCATGGATTTGTGCTATGTTTTTATTCAACTGCCTGTAGCTATCTTCCAGCCTTTTCCTCCATCAGACATCAACGCTTGTCGAGGCAGTCGGTGGTTGGGTATACGTAGTAGGAAACGTAATCAGATTATTCGTCAGTAAATACATTAGTATATTTAAGCGAGTAAGCTGACTGCAATTATTGGAAATATTTGTTCATCTGAAATTGTTCATTCATTTTCGTGTCATACTAATGAGTAATTTTCCCAACACAACCTTTATTTAAAATCATTGTATATTTGCACATCATATTTACGTGATTTCTTTTTAATATATTACTTCATTATTTATTTAGCCCCTACATCTGATAAAACTGATTCGATTTCTTTGACAAAAGACCAAAAAGTAACATCATGTTCTAATCAGTCAGATGATATTTTATTTGTGGTAAGTGACATGATTCCGCCAATCAGTATTCAATATTATTCAATATTATTACCTGCCCCAATTGAAGATTGATTGATAGTAAAAAAAATATTTGAAATTTTTATAAGATAATTGTCATTGTGTGTTGATAGAATTTTTAGTAAAATGTATGTGCAAGTTATATTATTAAAATTTCATTATTAACCTAGTTTTATGATTTCAGATAACTGTGTAACAAACAGGAAACAGTAAATTAATGTTTTTAAATTAGGTCAATTGATGAAGAAACGTTGTTATGAATTGTGTAAAGTGACTAGTCTTTGATTTTTCATTGTTTAATCAACATTTTCACAAATGGGTATATAAATATGATGTTTGTAGATCGTTTATTGTGTAGAAATGGTATGTCATTGCTAAGCAACGTGAAACCTAACACACATATACATCAGACTGAGTTGTCACATCATATTAACACAAAAAAAGATGATAGGACAAGGTGTGTAGAAAGTGAAATGCGCGAATGATTTCAATGTAGCTGGTTTTCCTATGTACTGGACTACGAGCCACACTGAATTCGATTTAGTAATTCTACCGGGATGTCCAAATCGAAGTTGGGTTCGAACTTACGGCCTACTAATGGTTCAAATACTTAACTATAATTTCACATTTTAAAAAAATTCAACTAAAATTTTATTTCTATTTCATTTTAGGAATCTCATCTTGTTAATCGTGGTTCGGTGAAACATAAAAAATCCAAGAGCACTAAAAGAAAACATAAAAAATCACACAAAAAACGACATAAGAAGGATAAGAAAATTTCTCGTAAAACATCAATCTCTTCTTCTGGCTCTTCGAACTCAGGTTCTTCTGATAGTTGTGATTAACATTTCACCATTGTCCAATTTGTATATAAATGACTTTTTTTGCAACTTTTGGCTACTACTACTACTACTCCTACTGTCATCACAATATTTTCTTGGTAATCTTCGCTTTCTTTTTCCGGGCATAGAAAATTCTGGCTATCCTTCTGCGCCCACATAATAAACTTGTGTATATTCCTCTTGAAACAAACACTTTTATCTTTAATTCAATTTTCGTTCATTATTTTGCACCGGAAGATTTATACAGTTTTTTTGATTACACCGCTTGTATGTGTATAGAGATGAGATTTTGGCGAGTGAAATGATAGATGATTTTATACTAAGTGGATAAAGAAAAGAGATAGTTTTATTCGTCAAAACCAATATATTCTAGTTTGTGCAATTTTAATTGTGTGTTTTTCCTAATATCCATTCTTCTCTACCGCAATACTCTGGATGAATAACTTGTTGAAATTCTTTGGGATAATCTCTGTTTATACATAATAAATAAAGTACAGATATAAATCAACTTGAAAAATATCACAAATACTGAACAATAAATGGTTTCTTTTCAAGAATTGTCTGAAAAATGAAATGTCTCTTTATTTAAATACAACAGATATGAAGTTGTGTAAATAGTTGTGTGTGTGTGAGAGAGAGAGAGAGAGAGAGAAAGAATATCATCAAGTCAGTTGTCATTTGGACAGACAAAGTATATTTCTAATGTTTAGTTGAAATGTGGAGAATGATAATTATAAACTACTAGGCATAACAAGTTGATTTTTATCAGCCTGAGCTACAGTTTGGATATATATTAAAAGCTATGATTTAATAGCTATTTATTTGTCCAGGGAAATGTTAGATTGTAATGTGTATTCAATATATTAGTTTCACTTTTTCAAGTGGTTAGTCTACATAGATGTGTTTAGTACCGATAGGATAGGTTCGGTTTGTTGCTTGTTAAGATGATGAATAACTGGAATTTCTAAAAAGGGAATTTCACAAAAACTTATGAAGCTTTTTTTATTTTTCAAAAAATAACGTCAGCGATATGCTTTTAGAGATGGTATATTCATTGTCTGATTTTTCAGGAGTTGATCTACCAGAAGATTCACTTGTTAACTTGACTTATGCAGATGATGTAGTTCTGTTTGGTGAATAATCTGACGAAATTCAGAGTCTTCTAACCACCTTGCGCAACAATGTGAGCATGTTCAGAATGAGATTCTCCCCTTGGAAATGCAGAAAGTCGCTGCAGGATTACCTTGCATCGGAACCTGAACTAGTGACTGCTTCACTTATCTTGGAATTCTCATTAGTGCCGATCATCTGGTGTGTGACCAAATCTTGACACGATTAAAGAAAACCCGATCGGGGTTCGCTAACTTGCGTCACTTATGGCGTAGGTGAGATATCCATCTGTCAACCAGGAAACGAATTCACTGCACATCAGCTCGAAGTATTGTTCGTTAATTCTGGGACGACTGAGCGGGTTAGGAATAGAAAACTAGGTAAATGTGGCTTTTAATAGCCCGTAGTCCGACTCACTGGGATGGGTAGTGGAAAACAGAAATGATGCGGAGAAGGCGAATAGTCCAACTCCATTTAATAAGGCGTGACGAACTGTTTGCAGTCAGACAGAGTAAAGAATTGATGTATATGGTAATTGGTACACACACGCTCATATGAAAACAATCATGGTTTTAATTGAATAGTCAACAAGATCAAATATATGTGTGGATGATGAACCGGGAAAAATATGTTAATTAGTTTCCTGAAAATGTAGTATAAGTCATGAGGGCTTGATCTAGTTGCACAGACTTCAGGTTGATCGATAAATAGGGTAGTAAATTTCCATCAGCAGAGATGGTTGGAACATATGTTGCGTATGCACATACCCTTGCTTAACTAGAGGGATGATTTCTGGTGGCGACCGAACGGAAGAAAGTTAGGGGCAGCCAAATCAAAACTTGGCACGAATGCATGAATTCATTGACAAATGAACTGAGCCATGTAAGTTGGTGTAGACTACCTGGTTTGGATTAGAGTGGTAATCGTAACCAGTGGTTAGAGAATGAATGGCATCGCTCAAAATTGTTTTCAGTAAGACAGGTGCATCCATTCTTTGTCTTTTTTGTGAGTTCCTTATAACTTTCTATTTATTTATTTATTTCACTGATTTACATTTTCGTGAATAGTATCCTCGATGCTTAGTCTTTTCTATTACTACTGATACAATTACTAGTTGTGCTACTCTGGGATTTGACGTAACAGTTCCATGTTTCTGTGCCACTGCGGTGTGAATGAATGAAGACAGCATTCAACTTTAAAAGACTAAGGTTTCATGTTTAACAAAATTTGCATGCGTTCTTTACATACCTTGAATCTTATTTTTTTAAAATGGGATTTTGTTGAATAAAATTGAATAGTTTAAAATTTCTAATCTCCGTGATTGTTTGTTGACTAAAACGAGTTTATAATGTGAACGGTATTCCTTCAGTTTGTATCATAATATTTTTCGTGCAGAGTGTTAGAAGTGACTGTAAGAGTTTAATTATGCACGCTACGATTGTATTACTGGATGTTGTAAATTCAAGATCTTCGTAAATTGTTAAGTGTTTTAAAGTCACATACTCAATGTTTATACATATCAACAAATGCAGAACACGTTGATGCACAATGTGTTGCGGCAAATTCAACTGATTGACATACACATGTACCAGGCTCTATATTGTAGCTAACTTTCTCACATATCTTTGTAAACTGCTTGACTTCCATTAAGTAGTCAGTTGAGTAAATCTCTCTTTTTCTTATCAAGAATTTTAAAATTGAAGCTCATATTTGTTAGCAATAACAATTCCACAGTCTTAACAGAATTTATTAACTGATTTTTAAATCTGCAAGGGATGTATAATTTTTATTGTGATATTATTTACAATTTATTATATGTATATATAACTTTAAGGAATTAAACTACTTTATTTTCAGTTTTATTTGAATGATTTTCTAACAGTCTGCTGTACCCTTTAATTTTTATTAATATTTGTATTAGTTTAGTGAGAAATCGATTCAGCTTCAAGTGAGTTAGATCAACTTGAAGATGCATACTTGAAAGAATTTAAATAGATCAAATTAGAATTGTTCAATTACTTGAAAACGATGTAGTTGAAATTAAAACAGTATTTAAAACCAAATACTGAAATAATCTGATTTCTAAATTTATTATTTATGTGAAAAAAATGTTACTGAATTGTAAAAATACTGCGAGAATTTCAGAGTGTTTGTTTCGGTAATCAGATTAAAATGTCTGTGTTAAATGAAGGTGTTTCTTTCAAGTGTGAGACTTATTTAAATATAAGTATGTTTAGTTTAGCAGAAATTGAATTACACTACTGTGAACTTATATTTAATATATCGACAAGAATAATTAAATTACAAAAGGCCCTTAGGGATTGCATTCAGCTGTTATTTTCATTTGATGTGAAGCAGTAGACCTAGTATGTATAATATTTGGTCTTCAACTATACAGCGGAAGTTCAGTCTCTACACCGCGTACATTACTGTTAGTAACCGTATGGAATAAGTAGATCCTGACCGAAAAGCCGATTATATAAACCTGTATTTGCTTACTCAGTTGATTTAAAATCATTAACTCTCTATCAGTTTCCTTTAATATATGAAAGGAGTTCAGGTACAGTAGCTGAAGCAGAAAAACAGGTTGAATTTTCATATTATTTCATGTTATCTAATAACAATTTTTATTAGTAAGGCTTTATGGAGATAGATGGTTCATTCAGTACTGTAGTTAACACCACAGACTAATCTCAGTCAGGAAGGCAGTGAAAATCAAGAAGCACTAGATAAATCTTTCGTCGTTATATGGGATTAAACTTTCTGGGCGTCCTTTGAGTTCAAGAATCGACCCCTGTTCTGGAGGGACATGAGTCGATAAAACTGAGTTTCGTTGTAGAGCATAACATATATCCTGTACTTTTGGGTGTTCGATCATTATTTCATCATAATCAGCTCTTGAAGTAAACTACTAAAAATTATTGCTAATTTTTTAAATATGAGATAGTTGTGACTATTTGGGTACATTGATATTAGTCGACATGTAAGTTATGCGGCATATGAAAAATCAGTCTCTTAACTATTTTATACGTACGAAATCGTGCAGTGATTTCATTACTGTTATTTAAATATGTATGTAATATTTTTAATTACTGTCTTGTCGTCTGTAAGTTAGTTCATGTTCATTTGATTTCAAACTGGTATTTGATTATAGCTAGTTTATTTGCTTTACAAGAGTATAAAATTCTACACAGAATATAAATCACACTACAATAATCAGATAAAATGTATTCCCACCTACTTTTCAATCGTTGGACATTGAAAACATAAAACAATAATCACTACACATAAATTTGAAATTTTGTTTTAGACAATAAAAGAAACATTTGTGTAGATTTTTATGATTGATTTGTGAATAACTATACGTAAGATAGTGAGTGTCTTTATTCTGTGACACAAACATTTTACGAGGAAACACGACCATGGATAACTTAGTGAAGTCGGGGAATTAGACCAAATCTTTAAAACAATAGAACCGTATATGTTTGTGTGTGTGTGTGTTAGTTGCAGATGACGCTTTTCAAATAATTTACTAGTTCTTTCAAAGAAGAAATAACTTCACCATGATTTGTGGTCATGACAATTATGGAATTTAAGTATCCTGACCATTTTTTAAAATTCACATGTATAACTGATGGACTTCACATTCTTTGGATTAGCTTTATGCTAGATGAACACCAAAAAGCTTCATCTACAAAACTGACTTATTAACCCTAGCTAATGGGACAGAAAAAAGAATTGGACAGAAGTAACTTTGTTTGCAGTATCAAAGTTGAAATTAGCATATCAGTTTAAGGATTTATTCAATCAGTTAGTAATGAGTGAATTAATTTAGTTAACTGTCTGGTCAATTAACGTTAATTACTTTACTATCTAGCTAATTTAAAATTGTTTTTCTTTACTCAGTTTGACTAAACACTGATTGATATATTATGGAATATATTTGAGATCATTCCTATACTATGTATATTATTCCTCCTGATAATGGTTATTGGACAATACTCAATGGTGTATAAATTTCCGATGACAGTAAGAAGCACTGAATTCAGTTTACTATAAGAAACACACGAAACGAATATAAACATATTTGCTGATACGTAAAAATGGACGAATCGAAACTAAGTATCACATTCTAGATCTGAAAATGAACGGGTCATATCGAATTATTTAAGTTAGTATGAAGACTGTGCGTCAAGGCTGTGGCATGTGATCAAGCAAACATGCTCATCAAACAGGATACAAAGATAATAGACACTTTGTTACTGAATGACATTGTCTGTTAAATAAATTAACTGAAGGGGCTTAACAAAATTAGATACACACAAATTCAAGCGTAGGTAAGATGCTATAGATATATATGAAGTCAACTGTTTTTTTTGAATATTTTTTTCTTGTATCATTTTCTTTGATTAGATAA